CTAATACCCTCCCTCAAATTGGAGAGTGTAGATTTCGAACTCCCAATTTGACAAGAAATGCTCCAAACTCTTTCTTCCCAAGTGCCTTTGTCAATATGTCCGCAAGCTGCATCGTTGTGGAGACATGTTTTGTTGTGACAAAACCTCTGACTATCTCATCCCTTATGAAATGATAACTAATACCAACATGTTTAGTTTTCTCATGACATACTGGATTTGCCGCCATATAAATCGCTGAAATATTGTCACAATGAACCGGTATAGGTGTTATAATTCGAACTCCGAGTGTAAAGAGGAGATTCCTTAGCCACAACAACTCTTGAACTGTATCAGACATCGCTTTATACTCTGCTTCTGTCGATGATCGTGATACTGTGTCTTGATTAAATGTTCTCCATGATATCGGCGAGTCTCCAAGCTGTATAAACCATGCCGTCAATGACCTTCTAGTAAGCGGACATGCTCCCCAATCTGCATCGCACCAAGCAGTAAGTGTGAGGGGTTGACCCGCTTTTAGCAACACGCCTTGACCAGGATTCCTTTTCAGATATCGCACAACTCTCATAGCAGCATCCATGTGATCTTGTTTAGGAGCCTGCATAAACTGTGATAGTATGTGTATTGCATAAGACAACTCTGGCCGAGTTACTCGTAGATAAATCAACCTCCCTACAAGTCGTCGATATCTCTTTGGGTCAGAGATTGTCGCTCCAGTCGCCTGAGCAAGTTGGTGATTTTGGTCCATTGGAAACGATGCAGGTTTAGCTCCAAGTAGTCCTGCTTCAGTTATAATATCAAGAGCAAACTTCCTTTGGCACAAGTAGATACCCGATGCACTTCTAGCCACTTCAATCCCCAAAAAATACTTGAGAACTCCTAAATCCTTCATCTTAAAACATGTACTCAAATAATTCTTGAATGTCGATATTACCTTGGGAGAGTTTCCAGTAATAATCAGATCGTCGACATAAATTAGTACATGAATCTGAACTCCAGCCTGATTATAGACGAAGAGAGAGTAATCTGGAACAGACTGAATAAAACCATAAGCTGTCAACGCTTTAGATAGCTTGGCAAACCAGCATCTTGGAGCTTTTTTAAGCCCATAGAGAGACTTGTGCAACTTACACACTTTGATCTTATCTTCTACCCGAAAGCCCGGTGGTAACTGCATATACACTTCCTCCTCTAGATCTCCATGTAAGAAAGCATTATGTACATCCATCTGGTGTACCTCCCAGTCACACGCAGCAACAATCTCAAGAAAACATCGTATCGTAGTCATTTTTGCAACTGGTGCAAAAGTTTCAGTGTAGTCCTCACCTTCCACTTGATGATTTCCAAACACAACCAGTCTAGCTTTGTACCGTTCAATAGTACCATCAGCTCTGTATTTTATGCAATAAACCCATCTGCATCCAAGGGCCTTTTTCCCCGCTGGTAACGTCTCCACAGTCCACAGTCCACGTTCCACTATCTTCAAGTGCTACAATCTCAGACTTCATTGCATCTCGGAAATGTTCATTTTCCACGGCTTGAGCATAATGCCTTGGAACTGTATTAGAGGTAATAGCTGCAAGAAAGCATCTATGATCAGCAGAAAAAATATCACATGAGACAAAATCTTCGATGGGGTAACTAGACGTCTCATGGACTGTATTCGCAACAAAGTCTCTCAGTCTCGTCGATCTCACTTTTTCTCTATGACCTCGGCCCAGAGCTTCCACCTCATTGCTGGTATCTTCTGGAACTAACGTAGAGTCAGTAACTCCTTGTGCGGTACCTTCCACGTGAGGGAAAGTGTCAATTTCTTCAACTCCATCTAACTCGGTTTGGAGAAGATCTGTCGCAGACTCTGTTTCAGGCTCTGTCTCAGCCCCTGTCTCAGATTCTGTTCCTGCAGCCTCTATCACAACAGAATGATCGTTATTCTCCACAATCATTTCGGCTGGTGGAGCTAACGTCTGATCCAAGTCGGTCTCGACCAACACATCAGCCACCGGCGTAGGTAGCTCTGTCTTCTCAATGTTGTCTTCATCTATTTGTTCACTCGCTGAGAATGGGAATTCATCCTCCATGAAGACCACATCTTGAGATATTGAAATTTTTCTGCTCTCAAGATCATAAACCCGCCATCCTTTCTTCCCGAAAGGATATCCAACAAAAATGCTTCGTTTACTCCGACTTGCAAATTTGTCTCCTCCATGCTTTTGTTCATGAACAAAGCACAAACAGCCAAAGGTTCTCAAATGCTGAATCGGTAGAGGTCTCTGATACAACATCTCAAAGGGAGTCTTCCCTTTCAATACTTCAGACGGTGTTCGATTAATCAAGTAGCCTGCAGCAAGAGTACATTCTCCCCAAAACTCTATCGGAAGAGATGCCTGGAATCGTAGTGCTCGAGCTACGTTCAATATGTGTTGGTGCTTCCTCTCAACCTGACCGTTCTGTTGAGGAGTCCCAACACAAGATGTCTCATGAATTACACCGCTATCTCTGAAAAACTCAGTCAAACATATGAACTCACTGCCATTGTCAGATCGCAAAGTTTTGATTCTGGTATTGAACTGTCTTTCAACCAAAGAGAAGAACTGTCGAATTTTCAATGGTGCTTGTTGTTTGTTTGGTAGTAAGTAAAGCCACAAGCTTCGTGAGTAATCATCCAAGATTGTCAAGAAATATTTCGCTCCACACAAGGCTGGTGTTCTATAGGACCCCCATAAATCGCAGTGTATTAATTCAAAAGGAGCCGTAGTCTTATTCGAACTCAATGGAAATACATCACGAGAATGCTTAGCGCGGATACATACTTCACACGCTTTATTATTCAAAACACCAGAACTAGAAAAACCAGAAACATGCAGCTTGTCTACAACTTTAAGAGATGGATGTCCTAGTCGTCTATGCCAGACATCTTTCGACAAACGATCAGTCCGTCCAGCCATCAACGCCACAGCCACATTCATGCTCCTAAAGAAGTACAATCCTATAAGCTGCTCACCCGCACCAATCAGGGTCTTCGTGATGCGGTCCTGAATCGTACAAAGCTTATCAGACATCTGAACAATGCAGTAACTATCTCGAGTCAACTGAGAGACAGAAATCAAATGACAATCTAAACCATCAACCAAGAAAACATCTTTCAACTCAATATGTGATCCCATCTGAGCAACCCCTTTCTGATTAGCTACAGTAAGCCTACCATCAGGAAGCTTAATCCGTATAGGAGCCATACATCGTATATCAGTGATGTAATCCCTAGAACCAGTCATGTGATTTGTGGCTCCACTATCAAGTATCCAAGATTCAAAAAAATACTTACCCGTGAGGCGGTTCAGTTGCGGTTGCTTTCTCTCTTCCAACATGGACACCAGTGTCTTCCACTGGTTCTCATTCAATCCACTAAAACCAACACGGTCTGCATCCGAAATTGCAGAGGAGTTTGATCCCTGAGACACAACACCTTGTGTTCCCATCGCATTCACAAGTGCCACCTCCTTCCCTTTGTTCTTCGTCTGAGGTGCTCCATTGCCGTTGCTTCCTTTGTTTCTGGGTCTATCTCCCCACCATGGAGGATAACCAATCTGCCGGAAACAAGTATCTGATCCATGACCTTTTCTTCCGCAACTTCCACAAATTGCTCCCTTATCGCGGTCGTCTGATCCTCTCCCTCTTGGTTGTGTTTGCATCGCGAAGCTCACTCCTCCGGTTTGTTCCATGTACGTACGTGACACTACTCTCGAATCTTCTTCTTGTGTCAACGCATTATACACATCATCCAGGCTCGGGAAAGGAACTCGTGACAGGAGCGCTGATCGTGTAGGTATATAAACTTCATCAAGTCCCCGAAGGAACTCATGCACACGATCTTCATCACGCTCTTGCTCAAGAGCCACATTGAGTTCACAAGTACAGCTTCCACATTTACACCTCTTCAAGGGACGATAATCAGTCAGAGTTGTCCAGAGCTTGTTGAGGTGACCAAAGTACATCTCAATCGACTGTCCTTTCTGCTGTGCTGTAGCGATCTCTGTCTTGACCCTCTGAAATTTAGAACCATTCTTCACAGAGAATCTTTTCTGGATATGCTCCCATAAGCTACGAGCCACATCATGATGCGACAGATTGGTGCGTACGTTTGCATCAATCGTTAGCTTCATCCATGAGACCACCAAAGCATTGTTGGTCCACCAATCTTCCAAATCTGGTGAGTTTTGTTGTGGTTGGGGTATCGTACCGTCCACAAAGCCAAACTTCTTCCTCGCCACAAGAGCAAGTCGAAGATTAGTTGCCCACTCATCATAGTTGGAACCTCTCAACAACGGTTGAGAAATAACACTTCCCGGGTTGTCATTAGGACTCAAATCATAAGGAGAGATGGTTCTCCGCTGAGCTCCACTCTTCTCTTTCACTTCTCCAGCTTTAACCATGCTTCCGTCAGTCTTCTCTTCGTCAGACATCTTAACTCAACGCGATCAAATAAGAATGATGATCAATACGTCAAAACCAAGCGACAATCAAGAAAGAATGATGATCGGCGCAAGTAAAGAATTGAAACCCTAGTAGGGCTCTGATACCATGTCAGAAAACAAGAATGTCGTAAAGGTTTTCTGTGATTAACTTTAGGTCCAAGACCTTCTCTTTATACAAGGGTTTCATTCCTAAACTAGATTTACAAGATATATGCAAATTAATGAGAATGTATTATAAAGAGATATGGCTAGATATGTCCATATCCTAATAGTGACAATACTATCAACAATCAAGCTCCAAAGAACCCAGCGTTTCATGTAAGATGTAAGCAGAATTCATTTTCACAAAACCACTGAAGAGAGGAGAGGTGTTGGAGAATAAGATGAGAAATAATAAATTTTTGAGATATCAAAAATATCATCAGCCAAAGACATTCTGTAGTAACGTTCGTTGATGGGTGGGGGTCCTCTGTTTTCCCGACAGGTCTTTTAAAACCTTTAAATTAAACATTTCACTCAAGAAGGGAAATGAAGATGGGCGGCTCTGTACAAATTCCATCACTTATAGTATACAACAAGATGCTCAAATCTCTCGCCGAGTCTAAAAGCTTCACCAAAGTCTTGACTCTGTTCGCTGAATTGCGACGAAACGCCTTATATCCTGATAATTTCACCTTACCTGTCGTTCTCAAATCAATTGGACGCTTGAGGAACGTTACAGATGGTGAGAAACTCCATGGCTACGCTCTGAAATATGGGCTTAACCTCGATCCTTACGTGTGTATGGGTATGTACGCTGCATTGGGTAAGATGGAGATCACACACAAGGTGTTCGACGAAATGCCTGAACGAGATGTCGTTTCTTGGAACACGGGAGGTTTGATGACGCCGTTGCTGTTTTTAAGCGGATGAGTAACTTGAAGCCTGATGAGAGTACGATCGTGAGCACTCTCTCAGCTTGTTCTTGGTTTGAAGAATTTGGAAGTTGGTGAAGTGATTCACAGGTATGTTGCTGTCAGAGAGTTTGAAACGAGTGTCAAGATTGGGAAGTGGATATGTTCTGTAAATGCGGGTGTCTAGATAAGGCTAGAGCTGTTTTCGATTCGATGAGAAGCAAAAATGTTAACTGTTGGACTAGTATGGTCTCTGGGTATGTTAGTAATGGTAGGATTGATGAGGGTAGAGAGTTGTTTGAGAGAAGTCCTGTGAAAGATGTTGTTCTTTGGACAGCTATGATCAATGGGTATGTTCAGTTTAACCGGTTTGATGAAGCGTTGGAACTGTTCAGGTGCATGCAGACCCAAGGTATTAGACCTGATAACTTTGTCCTTGTCTCTCTTTTGAATGGCTGTGCGCAGACGGGAGCTTTAGAGCAAGGGAAGTGGATCCATGGGTACATATATGAGAACGGAGTTAGAGTAGATAAAGTAGTTGGTACGTCCCTTGTAGACATGTACGCAAAATGTGGGTGCATAGAGACTGCCCTGGAGGTTTTCTATGAAACAAAAGAGAGAGACACTGCTTCTTGGACATCGCTTATCTACGGTCTTGCCATGAACGGGATGTCAAGGAGAGCGATGGACTTGTACTACGAGATGGAAAACATTGGTGTTAGATTAGATGATATAACATTTGTCGCGGTTCTAACAGCTTGTAATCAAAGTGGATTTGTAGGAGAAGGACGTAGAGTTTTCTATTCGATGATCCAGCCTAAATCAGAGCACTATAGCTGTATGCTTGACCTACTATGCAGAGCTGGTTGTTTAGATGAAGCAGATGAGTTGATAGATAAGATGAGAAATGAAAGCGATGAGACTTTAGTTCCTGTCTACTGTTCTTTGCTAAGCGCTGCTCGGAACTATGGGAATGTAGAGTTAGCTGAACGGGTAGCGAAGAAGCTGGAGAAAGTGGAAGTTAGTGATTCAAGCGCTCATACTCTGCTGGCAAGTGTATACGCATCTGCCAATAGATGGGAAGATGTGACCAATGTGAGAAGGAAAATTAAAGTTTGGGAATCAGAAAGTTTCCTGGTCGTAGCTCTGTTGGAGATTGATGGGGTTCCTCATGAATTCATTGTTGGAGATACATCATCTCGCCCAAAAATGGATGAGATTAACACAATGCTGCATCAAACTACAAATTGGATGTTGAGTTTGGAACATGCAGTCGTTGAAAGTTGCACTTTCTTGTGTTAGATAACTTAGCGGACGCTTCTGATCGATACTGTAAGGAAACAAAAGCCAAAGGACCTGGCTTTGTGGACAAACTACGAGACATTGTAGTTCGAGGTTTAGGACAAAGTTTTCACTCCCAGATTAAGAAAACCACTTGAGAGACGTCTCAAAAAAAGTGGAAACATAAACATAATCACTTGAGAGACGTCTCAATGTAATCATTTTGTATGATTACATTGAGCAATTTCACTTGGAAAACAAGGTGTAATTGTATATCAATCGACTAAGCATCTCTTAAACGTTAATTCCTAGTACATAGTGAATGCATAGATTCACTCAGCTAAAACTTATTTTTTATAATCCAAATCAGCGTTAATTTCTGACATAAAGAATGGTGTCTACCGGTATGATGAAGACCTAAATCGGATTCATTCTTCTTCTTCCAAATCGGATTCATTCTTCTTCGCTGCTTTCTAACAAAACAACAGCCTTCTGTGTCTTAGCTCTCTTACTTGATCTGCTTTTACATGTATCCTCCTTTGTTGCATCTTCAACAAGTTGTTCAGAGACTGCACATTGCTTCATCACTTCTAGAATCTTGTCTCCGTACTTGTCTGTTTTTAGTTTTCCTATAATACTCTCCAACTGCAAAAATCCAACCAATAAAGCAGCTTTAACTGAGAGGATTAGACCAAAGAAAATCCGGGTTATATATAAAAACGATAACTCACCTCTTGTAAGGAATCCGGTTTTTGGGAACTTATCAACCCAATCTGCTGTGTTGAGAGGACCGTGTGAGGGAGCATGCTTCCATGAGCTGCAGATATCTCTTTCCTTAGCTCATCAAGCTTGGATTCTAATCCAGAAAATGAACTACTTCTTTTCGATTTTTTGTTCATTTGTCTGCTTGAGGTTTCCGTTTTTATCGTCTTTCTTCCTGTTCCAGATCACATGTAGGACAGGTTTTGTTTCATCAGTTTTATCTATGAGAGTAGAGAAACCAAGTAATGACTAAAAAAACATTAATATATTCATAACGGGCTTCAGATCCTGAAGCCTATAGTGTTCATCTGAGCGTGAAAAGAAGGCAAATTCATTACAACTCCTTACCTTGCAACAATTGGTTTGCCAACGGTCCAATTGTTACATAAGCGTTGGTCGAGTATGGTGTGTGCTGGAATTCTTCTTTCTGCACAAAAACAGAACTCAGATACAACCTGAAGGAACTTTTGGAGCTGGGTTATCATGTGTCGATACAATCTGACAGAAAACATGGACAATGATCTTACCAATACCGAGTCAACAATCAGTTTTATCACGAGATGCTCTATCTCTTCTCTCTTTAGCTCAGCACCTAGGGTTAACCATAGCCGATCAACAACAGCCAGAAAAATCATAGAGCGAGACATTAAGGCATTAAGTTTGCAATTCCAAGTGATAAAATGAAACTAACTTAGATCCTTGTGCTTGGTTCTCAGTTTGTCACCCAGCTGTAACATTGTCACTCTTTGATCCTTAGCTTGCATTTCTTGCACCATAGAAACTACGAGCTTAGCTAGGTCTGCAAAGGTCGTGAGACCAAAAAATCATCATGATATTATTCACATATTGGTTGATGATTGCTGAGAAAATGCTGGAGGAGAAAAACTTTTGGCAGCAAAAAAACAAAGGTTTCAAGCTGATTTCAAACAAGTAGTACAAGAAAGAATGATGTCCAAAGAAACTACATGCGAATGTAAGTGGGACATACCCGATACATCAACTTCCTTGACCTCACTTGACAAGGCACAGTTATCGCACATTCCTAACAGAATGCAAAAATAACGATCAGCACATCAGAAAATCTAGAATCAATGTACATAGTACCAATTCTATCAATAGTTGACAGCTATAAACAAGGATACCGTTGCAATCTTGTGATGGCTCTCCAAAATGACGGAAAAAGGCACTTCGACGACATTTTGTTTTCGACTGCAACAAGAGAATTCAGAAACTATAGTTCATACCAATTTAGAACATTTCACGATCATGACCCTTGAAGCTAGACAAGATACAAGACTAAACAAAAGAAATACAATTTAAATCACTCTAGAGCGGTCTGATCAAGGTACATAAATCGATTGGAAGTTAGCACCTGTGTAATAATGATAGTGCGTTCTTGAAGAAAGAGGAAATGAAACTGCGTACCTGACAGTATCGTACTATATCATAGAGGTTCTGCAGACCAGAATACTCGTAGAAGACCATGGAACTCTGTTGTACAAGATAGAAAAGCATCAATGCAATTGTAGAAATATAGATAATTTCGTTTTTAGAAGAAAAAAACAGGTTGAAGAAAGACTGTTGCTTACCTGCCTGGGAACGTCACCCGAACGGAAAAAGAGAACGCACTCAGATGGAAGGCCATCACGACCAGCACGGCCACTCTCCTGCAGTATGAAGTAATGGTGATAAGAAGCAGCCTTATAACCACATCTAGGTTTAGTGGAAAAGTCATAGAACCTGATAGTAAGTCTCCATTGATTTGCTCAAACTGTGGTGGATGACAAACCTGACTACAAAAATGCTCCCATGTATCAGTTGAAAAGGAAAGAAAATCGGTGATTCATAAAATGCAAAGGACATTGATCTTTAGTAAGAACAATAACTCACACAAGAAAGAAATCTGCAGTAAGGAAACTGAAAGTCAAAGGTTAGCACTACTAACCATCAGGTTTGTTGATTCCCATGCCGAAGGCAACCTGCAAAGCAATAATAAGAGTTGATAGGTGTAGATCCCCGTGCCACAAAATAATGGAACGATAATAGGAGGAAGGAATACACATACTGTTCCAACAATGACCTGCAACTTGTTCTTACTCCATCTGTGAACATGAAAGAACAACCATAATTAGGCAATGCAGTAAACTGCACATCACTAACTGAATCATTAAGCCCAGAGTCATGCTTCATCAGAGCTGGACCTTACCGCATATGAACTTTTTCCCGCATATTTACATCCATTTCTGCGTGGTAATAATCAGCAGAGATCCCTCTTTCTCGTAGTTCTCCTGCAATCTATCACCATTGATTGTAAGAGAAAATATGAAAGCTTTTCTTCCTAGATCCAAGGTTAAATAGAAAAATATCAAAATGAAGGGTGCAGAAGAAGAATTGGGATGGTAAGGTCAGTACACATATGAAGATGTGTGAAGTTCAGTTACAAACCTGTTCACACTCCTTCCGAGAGAAACAATACACTATTCCAGATTCATTGTTAGAATATGATTCCCGTATGAACTCAGCGATCTCATCAACCACAGCTTTACCAACCAGCGACTTTTCTCGCACCTGCAAGCCAATTTATTGCTCATGTTAAGGCCTATAAATTATCCACAGCATGAGAAAACGTATATTAATAAATTTAATTACTAAAAGAGTACCGAGTAAAAGAGATTTGGCCTGTTAACACTGCTAACAAATTTGACGCATTTAGGAATATGCAGCATCTCTATCAGATCATTCTGAACCTTCTGTGTAGCAGTTGCCTGCAATAGAGACATACAGAATTTGGAAAATGAAATACTCCACCTTCCACAAAAATAAAAGAAAGGCGGAGTAACTTGCAATAGAACGATCAATTTACAATAAAAATTTTCATAACGATAAGCATAGTAAGGTGGAGTAAGCTCCCTAGTTTTGACTGATTTAAGCTTGCAGGGTATACCAAATGAAACCAAAAGTGAGACGGGGAAAGTATGAAGCAAATGAAACAAAGAAAAAGAACATACGGTCAAAGCCACCATGGGAACTTTGGGAAACTGAGTTTTTAGAATGCTTAAGTTCTTGTAATCAGGGCGAAAGTCGTGACCCCACTGGCTACAACAATGAGCCTCCTGCAAAGCAAACATAAAGTAGTACACTGAAACATTCAAAAGACAGTTTTTTTTTTCATTGTGCGAATATTGTTTACAAAAAAAGTTTTGAGTACGAAACTAAAAGCAAGAAGGACTTACATCAATTGAAATAAGAGAGAGGCGACCAGCATTGTGACACTTTTCAAGCTTCGACATGAATCTTTTACTCTTTGATACCTTTTCAGGTGTTACATAGAGTATCTTAAGATCATCTTCACCCTTTTCAAGTGCCTTGTACACAAACTTCTCATTATCCTTGCCAGAAGTAGAAGTCAGCATGTAAGCTGAAATCCCAAGAGCAGCCAAACCCATAACCTGAACAATCATAAACCAATAAGTAAAGTAAAAACTTGGAATTTGAAGAAAATAGTTGTGTAAAAATAGCTGCATAGATGCTAAAAAGTGTACCTGATCCTGGATGAGCGAAAGTAAAGGGCTGACAACAAGAGTTGTACCACCACGAAGTAAAGCAGGAAGCTGATAGCAAAGACTCTTCCCACCACCTGCTGCCATGATCACAAGGACATCTCTTCCCGCCATTGTAGCGTTAATTATCTGTCGTGCAATCCAAGGAAACAAGATTGCAAACGTCATACAAAGCATCATTGTGTTGCGTTCTTGAAAGACATAATACAAATGCAGAAGAAAAAGTAAAACTTACTTCTCTCTGGTTAGCTCTGTATTTGGATATACCAAAAATGTTAAACCTAATGCCATCAGCACGTGAATCCCACTCGAATGGTTCGGACCAATTCTTCTCTACAGCAGTCGAGCCATGCCCATCAGGGCAAGACGATGATGCAACAGGGGTTCCTGAAGCTGCAACTGCTTTTAACAATGTCTTTAACTCAGACTTTCTCTCGTATAACCTTTCTTGATGCTCTATCAAAGCACTTATCTGACCTATAAGAATGACTCGAATTCAAAATCAGAAGCAACCCTAGACGTAAATTCGAAGAACGGAGAAATGTAACCTTGAACATCCTTAATCTCGAGCTCTAAGCTTTGAAGCTCGTCCTCAATCGCTTCACTTTCCATTGGTTCTCCGACTTTACAACGGTGTGTTTCTTTTACCCTTCCGTCGTCGGCGTCCCGCCACTTTAACTAGAGGTGAAGCAGAATATAGTTGGGCCTTATAAGAGCTGAAGCTTTTTAATGGGCTTTTAATGGCCTAGTATATTCTTGGAAGATTCGCTTTGGTTAGGGCTGAAGTTTCGGGTATTGGGTCGGTTTCAAACTGTAAGATCGATACCGGGTCAGTTTGTTTTTTTGATGAAAATAGTTATTAACCTGGAATAGGTATTAATCGCTTTGATTAAAATTACATGAAACCATACTCGTAACTCGATGAATATCTGAAATAAAATAAAAAAACTCTAGAAAACGAAATGTCAAGTGAAATCAAACTCATTAAACAAAATCTCAAAACAAAACAAACCATGAAATAAATCGTAATTTTCAACAATGAAAATGAAGCAAATCACACCAAAAACATAAAGTACTTAGAGCATGATTATCCCATGATCCTTAAGTGGATTTCTTAGTGAATATTTAATATTTTAAATATACTTAAGTGGGGTTAAGAACTCTAGTTAAGAAACTCTCATTTTGAGCGGTCCAATGGGAATTTCTTAATTAGAGATTCTTAAAAAAAAAAAAAAAAATTGAAATTCTCATCTTAACAACATCACTCTCACGGGATGTTATTTTGGGTTACCCAGCCCAACCCAACCCTATTTACTTCAAGCCCAGCCCTAAATAAACCCTAACCCTTTTTGAACCCATCTAAATATGTAAAAGAGGGTTGAACCCTTTCTGACCCATTTTAAGCCCTATATGTTTTTTTTGATGTAAATACATTTTACCATAATCTCTTACAAAATACATATAATCTCATATACTAGTACAAATAAAATATAATGGTTTCTGATTAAAATACTTCTTACAACATATAAGGTTATTGTTTAATTGATTGATTATAAATAAAGTTATAATCAAAGTTGATCTTAATATGTGAAAATATAAAATAAATGATGCTATTGATTCAAGTCTTGCGTTGTGATTATTTAATTGATTGATTATAAATAAAGTTATAATCAAAGTTGATCTTAATAAGTGAAAATATAAAATAAATGATGCTATTGATTCAAGTCTTGCGTTGTGAAGGCTTTTACGTCGGCTTTGGTACCCGTAAAAACATAATTAACTTATAAACCAAGACATCAAGCTCATCTCAAACTCATAAATTATGAGTCATAACTTATAACACAAACAACACAAACATTCATGCTCCAAGCGACAACTGCTTATTGTCTTTTGCATTGAATACTATTGCAGATCAAGCGTATCCATGACCATGAGTACAAAGTTATGAGTCGTAACTACCTCAAAAGTGAATAATGACACACACACTGATATTACACTCCAATTCTCACTCAACTCCTCTATCTGATATGATATTCAATTAAAGTTATCTCTGATATGATGTTCAATTACAAGAAGACTATGTCGTCTAATATTAAAGAACAAAAAAAAAAACTTCTCAGTCTCAAAAAGGATCAGCACGCAATAAATCCAGAAGCAGTGATTACAGAATCTACCTAATCCCTTCAGTCTCAGCTTTACCATCTACCTAAATACTATGAAACACATCAGTAATGTTTATGATTCTAAACGAAACCCAGAACCAGTGCTTACAGAATCAAAACAAATAAGCTCATCAGCAACCAAGGCCATCACGAAAATACACAAACCGAGAATCATAGAAGCTCTCAGTAAACGGAGAAAGAAGCTGAGATGTTGAAATCGAACCTGAGATGTTGAAACCGTCGAGTGTCGAGATCGAAGAAAGAGTCTGAGATGTTGAAACCCACGGTGTAGTTCGTCGGCGAGATCGAAGAAAGAGGCTGAGATGTTGAAATCCTCGTCGACGGGATCGAAGAAGAAGATGAGATGTTAATTGAAACCTTCGACTCTCGAGTGTCGGCGACAAGAACGAAGAAGATGAGATTTTTTTAGCTTTAAAAAAAATTAATGACTAATAGGGCTCAGCCCTTGTAAAACCCTTTATTTTTAAACCCAACCCTAAATAAGCCCAATAAAGTTTACAATTAAAACATTAGGGTTAGGGCTTTTAAAAGTTTTGATGAGAGTCTCACGCATTGAGCAAGCAAGACAATAATATAGAGTTTTGCAGACATACCTCACCGGGAATGCTAAAGCTGGAACCAACGTTTGAGACGCTAGTTGACACGTTCGTGTTCCTGGATGAGAACAAAGACGGACTCGTTAGCCGTGAGGAGATGGTCAGAGCCATTGATAAATCTGGAGAACGATCCTCTGGGAGGATTGCAATGAAGATGATGATATCAATGACAACACTTGATGTTTGTGTTTGCAAGAATATGTAATAGTAAAAACCATGTTTTATGTTATAATGCAAACAGAATAATTCATTACCAACACACAAAGCATTATGTTTAACCCAAAAAACTTGTTTTTAAATGACAAAATTTATTAGTAGTCTCCACTAAACCAAATAAAAGAAAACAGTAAAAGGAAGCGGTTACGGTGCGTATATACCTTCTTCTTCGGTTACAGAAGACTCCACTTCCAGAAGCTGTTACAAACATGCAAAGTTAACGATGTGTTAATCAATCAGAATAGTACGCGTGCTAGCATTGATGTTTTACTGAACTCTCTCATGTAATCAAAATCAGGCCTTTTCTTTACCTAATGAGGATAACAAGCAAACTCATAAACAGAACAAGTTTAGTGTTAAAATTCATGAAATCTAAAGCGATATTTCAACCTCGGATGAACGCAAATGCTCAGAAGATATCGCAAGCAAAGGCACCACAAAGCTGTGGATCCACAAGGTTACTATCAGTATCATCAACCTCATCATCATCATTTACCAAATTTGACTCTGCAACGAAGGATGATGATCCTTGTGAAGAAGCATTACGCAATTTGATGTCTTCGTAAGGAACGAGTAAGTTTGATTTCGCGATTGGCTTGGGATATCTTCGAGCCGCTCTTCTGGTTTGTGATATCTCCGAAAGGATTACAGCGGTTACGGCGTCGCCGAGTGGGGCTGATCTTGCTTCGCTTCGGCCGAGAAATTGGATTCTTGTTTGATTGATTTGTCGATGACGACGAAGACATTGTTCTTGACGAAGAAGTGGAAGATTTTCGATTCGTCGGTGTCGTCGTTCTCCGGTGAGATGAGTTCCGTGAGCTAGAGAAGACAAGAAGAAGAAAATAAACGGGGAGTTACTACTCTCCCTCAATTGCTGACACGTGTGTTCTGAAACCCCTCTAAAATCGGTAACCAAAGTGCCCATTTAAGGATCGGTAACAACATTTTCTTTTTGTTTTGATTTAATTAAATCATGTTTTTAACCTTAGAACCCCTTTAAAGACCAGCGATAAACATGGTCTTAAAGTGTTAAACAAGAACAAAAACTGAAATCTTGTCCTCTTAAGTCTTAACATCAAATAAGACAGCCATTCCCACTCGTCCACACTCCACTCCATATTCTACGTTTCTTCCAACTTCACTCTCTAAAAAAAACGGAATACCTTGTGTTCTAAACTTTAAGAACCGAGATCATACTTTAAAGAGTTCACAAGTGATAATTCATACCTCTCATAAGATCATCTTGTTGCTCCACATCTGAAAGTCGCTGCTCTATTGTATGAATGCCTTTCTCATTTGTATGAATCTCATATTTCAACTATTATTTTGTGCATACCAACACCTCGACCATAAAGTCTGTCAAACAGCTCCTATATGGGTCTAAGAGTCCCACAAGTGCTAAATGCACTTTCTAGAGATAATGTTTGAACCGCAAAAATATCACTAGCTATCAACTTCACATTGTTTCTTCTCCACCATGATAAAACATCAAACTCGGTTTTAAGTCTAGTAACACCTTTTATAACCTCTACTCTCTCTTTCAAATACACTTCTAACTCATTACTATAATTTGTGTACTTGTTTCTTATACAAGATCCTCGTAGAGATTATTGTATTCATTCATAGTCAATACCATTGCCTAGAACTTAACTCTGGAAAACTGCACCACTATCTTGATTTTGGGTTTGAGAAGATGATCCCCCTTGCGATTGTGAACCACCTGATCCTCCACCTCCTGTGATGTATCCATGACTGTACTAATCATATAAACGCTTCATGATCTTCATAATTCAGAAAGCAGAATATACTTGATGCTTTCTTTTCTATAGAGATTCTCAAAGCAAAGTTCATCTTCTTTCTTGGGTCAAAAACAGTAGCAACTATAGCTTAGTCATTTTACAGCTCTAAGACTTACTACTCTTGTGGGAACCGAAATTCACCTACTGTCAATGAATCGTAAATAAGGAAACTTTGAGTAAACCCTAAGTTTCCAGAGGACCCGGCTATCTGCAGAACAACACAACAATAATTAAGAAAACGATGAACTCGAAATTAAAGTAAGAATGAACGAGATTGAGAGCAAGAATGTTTTTATTCTGAATCTCCGTAAGAACTGCTACAACGAGAGTGGCCTTAGCTGCGTGAGCCGTCGGCGAAATCCCTAACTCTAGAAGTCTAAGACCGAAAACCCTAGTTGAGACGCAGCTCGCTAACAGAAAACAGAAATATTCCTAAATGCTAAGTTTGGTGGTGAAAGCTCTGAAAATCGTGTCCCTGCTTCTGCCCTATGCATCTTGCTTATATACTCTCTTCCTAGGCGGTTTAGTCTTTCCATTTCGCCCAGATTCGAGTTTATCGGGAATCTTCCATTTATCTCGATCCTTCCTTTTTTCCTGCGGAAATCTTCTATTTATCTTCAAACTTGCCATTTATCTCCAAACTTGACATCTATCTTCCTTCTGCGAGTAAATCGTTAAAACGTCATCGTATCTTCGGGTTAGACTTCGTTAAGATCGCGAGATGGGCTTTTATCACGTTTTAGGACCTTTCGAGCCGTTTTGCGATAAATCCGTTTTGCGACTTTGTACGAGATCGTTTCCTGATCCAATGCCGTTTTAGTAAATTCGCCGAGTTAATCGTAAAGCTTAGATATGTTCGTTTCTCGGTTAATCGTTGTCATTTTTACGATTCACTCTACGTTTTTATTAAAACGCATTTCTTACGTTTTTTACGAAAAATCTTGAATAAATCGTATAGTTTAGGCAATGTTCGGTGCTTCGTTTAACCGTTGCCGTTTTATAAGATTTCCTCGAGTTCTTTTCGAGAAAACAAAGTTTTACGGTTTTATCGTAAAACTCGAACGATATGATGAATTGAGACGAAACGGGAGACATTTCGACCGTGGTTCGGAACACGATTGTGTCGAAGGACGTAAGCCTTGAATCGGGGATGCGGGAGGTCGAGGCTCGGGATGGTCGGTTCGACGTACGGCGAGCCAAACCGGACCGGTTCAGCTCGCTGTTTGGCGAGCTGCCCGGGAAGCTTCCAGCTCGCCCAACGACGAGCGAGTTGGGCGAGCTAGTCGTGCCCAGCTCGCCTTTCGGCGAGCTAGTTGTGTCGGGACTAGCTCGCGTTTTACGGCGGTTTCGGTTTTTCGCGGTTTTGTGCTTAACTTGGACGATCATGTAATCGACATTTGTTTCATTTTTCCGAGATAACGATCTTCCGAGTTTTCCGCGGATTTCCTTTGTTCGGAAATCTCTTTTGGATTTATAAAACGATACCTCGAGTTTTATAAAATGATTTATCGATTTTTATAAAACGATTTCTCGAGTTTTATAAAACGATATCTCGAGTTTTATAAAACGATTCTTCGAGTTTTATAAAACGATTTCTCGAGTTTTATAAAACGATTCTTCGAGTTTTATAAAACGATTCCTCGAGTTTTATAAAATGATTTATTTTATCTTTTTGCGAGGAATTTTGGCCACTGATTCCGTCATACCGATTTTGACCCCAACTGTTAGCCCCCCAGCTCGTAAGAATCGTGGAGTTCTTGCGAGCGGATCGAACTTGTTTGGCGAGTTTGGTAGAATTAGGCGAAACTTTAATGGCCAAAAGTCCAAAGGTGAATAGTAAACTTTTTCCTATAAGTATATGGGGTGAGTTTTCAAGTTCTTCACTCATTTTTCCATAACTTGTATAAGTTTCAAGAAGCTTTCTCTCTACTTCTTCCTTTGGATCCTTTCTCTTTCTTTTGACCGTTCCAACATGTCTTCCGAATGGAAAGCTTCGGACCATGCTCATGCATCGATTTTTGATCCAAGCGGCCTTGACATCTGTGGCGGTTGTCCCCTTCCCAGGCCGATCTTTCGGCGCTTTTCCACGACTAAGAAAGAGTTTATGGAATACTGTTCAGCCTTGGAGGCCGCCGAAGTTCCGTCTTCGAGTTTCTGTGTTTCGAACAAGGATAAGATTCGGAAGAAAACGGTCGGTCCGAGTACGAGTACTATTGATTCTCTCAGAGATTTGAGAAATCTTCGTGCGATCCCTGAGTTGGTTCAGTTTTGCCTTCCCGTTCAAGGTTAGGACGCCGAGAATCCGCCTCCGGATTACTTTACATGCTAAGAAGCCTTTCTGCTGAACTGTCAGCTATGGTTCCCTATTGCTTGAGCCATTGTCGAGTTCTTGGATAGGTTTGGTGTACCGTTCAGCCAGCTACGTCTTAGTGGGTTGCAGCACCTTGTTGCGATCTTGGTGCTAGGCTACGAGCGCGGAATGTCCCTAAACGCAGACTATCTTTCGGCTATGTTGACATTCAAGCGCGGAAGAGGGGGCGGCTTTTACCTAACCTCTCGGCGAGAAATAACGGTTATCGGCGGACTCGCCTCGAATGATCACGATTGGATTGATCGGTTCTTCTATGTCAAAATTGATAGCGCGTCGGTAGGGGAAAGTTGTATTCCTTTGTTCAGAACCGTGTGGGCGACAACTGGTATTTATTGGCGTGATCTACATATCTGTATATATATAGATTTTAACCTTTTCGTGCATTTTGCAGTGCCTATCCCCTGCAAGCCGCTGCTTGGTGATTTCCCGGAGGTCATGAATCTTCTTCGTGGCGGCCCACTTCATTGAGGATACTTTTCTCCGAAAAGGATCCGTCGCGCCGTTACATATTATTCATCCGGTTTTTCTCGGGACAGTCGTACCGAGGTCGAGGCGGATGACGGTGCGGAGGAGAGGGAAAGATCCACATCTCCGTAGGACAGGGAAGTTCCGATTGCTCGCGGTCTAGCGTTCGATGATGATATTAATATCGAAGATCTTATCGACTTTCGGCCTCCGAATTTGATCCAGCCGACACATCATCCCGAGCACCGGCTGACACACCGTTTGCGAAGGCGTCGATCTTTTCAACAAGGTCTGTCGCAGTTGCCTCTTTTGTTATCATATATATATATATATATATATATATATATATATATATATATATATATTTTTTTTAATAAGGGAGGATTTTTCCCGTTTTGCAGGGTCTCTGCTTTATGAGCGAAGCGGTGAATGCGAGTAGTGCGGAACTTCGCAAGGCCGAATCTAGGGCTGCAGTGGCAGAGGTGGAGGCTGCTCGTCTTAAAGAAGAGATCGATGCCAATTTCTCTCGTGCCCAAGACCTAGCCGCAAGGGAGGCCGCTCGTGTGAGGGAGGAGTATGAAGCTGAATCACGTCGAAGCTTAGAGCTTTCTGACACGATGGTTCGTCGTGCTCGTAGAGCGGGCAAAAGAGAGGTTGCTGCGGAGTTGATGGCTCGCCGTGAGCGGTTCATGCCTCTTTATGCAAAGTTTGAAGATGCGCAAAGGGCGAATGGCGATTTCCGCGAGTGCCGGGCGTAGTTGGGGGTTTGCACCTTACCCAGGACCCGGACTATTCGTATGAGGTTGCGATTGCGAAGCAGAAAGCGCGTCTGGATAAGAGAGAGAAGAAGAAGGCCGAGTTTGTTAATCCCGGGAAGCAGATGTGGGATCAGTGGAGCCCCATTGTTGTGTCGCCAGATTCAGTTGAACCGGACCTGGGATCCCGGACGTGGATGGCGAAGTCGACCAGCCATGGATCGATTCCAGTGATGTCCGTGTTTGATGACTTCAATGTGTGATGTTATTGCAGTATGATGTCGTTGTTGTTTTTCGAGGACTGGCCGTTGGTGGCTTTGAATCCCTGCCGCTGGGCGGTGTGTATTTGAATAATTTCTAATAAAAAATATTTTCTAAGTATGAAATTTGTGTTTCGTTTTAAATGTAGAGGGAAGAATACGAGTTGTCGTCTCGCATCTAACTCTTGGTGTAAATCGTCCGGTTCGTTAACTCGGGAGGTTTCAATTTTCGCGAGTGTTTAGATGTGGGCGAAGAGACATGCCTTTAGGATCTC